CTAACACCCTGAATAGAAAACAATTTACGTGTCTCTGTATAGCTAGATGATTAAAACGCACAATTGATGATACGTAACAAAAGCCTTAAAGCCTTGCTTTTTAAGCAAGAATTATAGGGATATACATAAAAAGAATATATCGAGCTCCGGGTGTAGTAAGCTACAATCTTGTGCATATAACACTTCAGACCATTCCTCGTAGTATTGCAGAGTTAATGTACATTGACAAAAAAATGTTGTGGACAGCGTCAAAACAACTTTTGGTAATTTACCATGACGTCGAGTAGGAGGAGTGAGGATTATAAGGAAGCTCTATACAGGATTTACAGGGAAATTATATCCTAAGATGTATGCGAATTTTTTTAGCTGGAGAAGTATAATTTCAACCAGAGGTTTTAAGTTTTGAAAGTTTTTCATCGTAATATGCAACAAAGAAAAAAATCCTCAAAATATTCAAAATACTAAACGATCATTCAAAATATTTATGAGGTGCAAATCACTCCAAAGTCCGTAAAAGTAAAAAAAGATCCCTGTAAATATATGGCAATCCTTAGATACGTGAAAGATACCCCAGCTTGTTGTAATCCAAAATACACTTTCATAAATGCCGTTCATCTTTTTTGAAAATTATTAGGACACTCTAATTAGCCATTTCCCAATCGAGCAGAGGACTGGGTCTAGTCGCTTGTTTGGAGGGACAAAAAATAAACAATATGCCGAATATGGCATCTAGGAAGTTTTCCTACGTTCCTAAAGTTATTTGTGCAGCCTGAAACGCAACAATTATAATTAGGCATCTTTTAATATATATTTAGCTCGCTCACTATAACTTGTTGTCCCTCCAAACATCAACAAGACCCAACCTCTGCTCGACTGGGAAATGGCTAATTAAGTTCGATGTCTGAATCAAGTCTGATCAAACAGCAAAAAAGATTGGTTCATGTGAAGTTCGACGTTCACATAGGGCCTAACTTGTACAAGCACAAGAAAACATTTGCTCTATAGTGGTGTAGTTCTATTTAAAACTCTCGAGTGCAGAAGACGGCATCTGTACTCGACCGAATATCTTAATAAAAGTCCTTATTAATTATTAAGAACAGTACAACTTGTATGGAATTAGATGGTCATGTTATTACATCAACTACCAAAAAAGTACAAAAGTACCTTAAAGACCTACATTCAATTTTAGAGGCTTTCGAGGATTTCAAAGACCGCTACGAACCCTCTATTATTGTGTTTAATTAAATGAATGCTTGTATTATTACTATTAACTGTACTTACCATTCGGTGCTGGTGTTTCAGGCATGTTTGCGTACTCAAACGTTAAATCAAGCCTCACCTAAAGGACAAAATAGTGAGTTTGCATGGGAACACACAATGGCAACGCCAATGAAGACGTGCTCCTTTTTACTCTAACACAAAGGCGATTATGAATTGTATTCCCTTGAGCATTCTAGTACGCCGTTGCTGTTCAAACTGCTACGTCACTTACATCATTTTCACGGCTCATAACCAAGCCAGTAGTTAAAACGTTGTGCGGGGTGTTTTACGTGAATTCACTGACTATTGCTTCTTAAAAGATGTTTAAAAGCAGGATAAGTACTTTCAACAGGCAAACAAAGTTTTGTAATGTATGATTTGGCTCGCGTATACAAAAATGTAAGTAATTTCGTTTTCTGCTCTTGCCGTTGTCGGCTGCCAAATTCACTAAAGCCCGGACAAACATTTCTTTGCCTCGTTATGTTGCGGAAGCTGAAAATCTTGCTAAGTTTAAGAGTCAGATCAAACTGCACATGAACTTGTTTTAATTAATCACTAATAATGAAATTAATGACATTAATTTTCCCATGAACTTTGTATATATTAGTCACTAGTTTTTACTATTTTGAGGATCTTATCCTAGGGTTTACCTCTACATTCTCCAGCAAGGACCTTATTCCTCAATACTTTCTTTATTATATTATTATTCCTATAATGCATTAAGGTACCTTGAATAAATGTCTTGATTGATTGATTGATTGATTGATTGATTGATTGATTGATAGATTGATTGGAACGAGGATGAGAATTGATGAGAATTGGAAGTTACGCGACCTTATAGTTAGCTGTTCTTAAAGACTTAATGCATGCTTTCCCTTGCACTATCATGCATGCATTTTACTTAAGTTGACAGAGTTGTAAAAAGTGTTCAACCTTCCTTTCAAAATTTCAAGTCCTCAAACTTTCCTCAAAATAATGTGGATTGTGGTTTTCTCAAATTGTAAAATATATAATTCATGTCATTCAAAATTTGCTTTGTATTCCCATTTCCCATACTGACTATAGTATATATAGCATTGATCAGCTGCTTGATTACATTGTATATTCACATACAAACGGTAGACGTTGGTGACCGCTAGCAGATGTACATGCGTGCAGTATACAGCTATTTCAATTAAGGTTGTTCCCGAGCAAAGCAGAAAAGTCAAATACGAGCGTGAAAGGCTGCTGGGAATCGCTAATAAATTCATTCATTTTTTAGCGATTCCCATGAGCAGCCTTTCGCGCTCGTATTCGACTTTTCCGCTTTGCTCGTGGACAACCTTAATTGAAATGGCTGTATGCTACGATTGCTATACAGAAACGCCGTACCCCAGAAAGCTGCTATTGCCATTCAATGTACTTTGAAATGCTGTACTTTCAGTTTAAATTGTTTTCCCCTCAGTATTCTCCAATGTGATAGTCACCTGGTATTGGTATACTATATACATGCATATATTATTCAGCTCACTCCCCATCGTGACTTCTCAGTGACCGATTACATCAAGTTTTACGCTTGTTTGTATTATTCACTTAGCTTAGACTAATTATCTTTACAACAGTTGTGATATTACTTCCCTAACTATATTTGTCCTAACCCACCCTGTCAACTTTGGAAGGAAACCGGAACGCCCGGAGAAAACTCACGACTATCGGCAGAGCGTTGACTGACTCTTTTCACATGGGCCCGTAGCGAGAATCGAACCCACGAACTCAGAGGTGAAAGGCGCTTGCTGTGATGACTGCGCCACCGAAACCCCACTACGCTATCACATACTCGCAGCTTTTTTGCAAATCTGTAAGTTGAATATGCCGTTGGAACGCTCATCAACCTTTACTTTGTTCACCTATATTGAAATGTCCCCTGTATGACAAGTCGTGACATCCTGAACTGTCATTAGCTCTCATTCACTCGCTGGACCGGGGTATAATGTGATGTGTTAGCAAGTTGTTATGTAACGACACAGTTGAGAGAAATATAAGCACGGAACATATATATGTATACCTACCTTGGGCGTGAACGCGTACTTGTACAATTTAAAATGCTTAAAATATCTACAAATATAAGAGGCAAATATGAGAATACGTCGTGCGAGAAGCTGAGGACCACTCGTGTTTACATTTCTTAATTTTAGCGCGTGTTGTAAATGCCCTCCGATTGTTTGAGTCTGTGTGCGTGTTTGTATCTTTATCAGCAAGGTAACTAAAAATATGTGAAGCAAACGGGCGTAGGCCAAGGATCACTGGCACATTTGGCAAATATTGTAACTATAATTAAAGGCTGCGTTCCAGTTAAGCATTTTTCATACGAATACGAATAGAAAAGTTTAAATCTCTCTAAATTTTATATAAGTACTAATTAGCCTTTCCCAAAAAACCGTTTGGAGGGACAAAATATGTGGTGACAAGCGTCAAATATGTGAAAGAGTAGATGTATCTACTATCAAATATCAACTTTTTAGACGACCAAAAATGAAATATCTCCTTTTTAATACATTAAACATTTAATTTAAATGTGTGCTGCCATATTTCTTGTACCTCCAATATGAGATTCGCGCGACTAGACTCAGGACTATTGGAAATGGCTAATTACTCATCAAAAAATTCTAAATCACACTCAAAACTAAATGCTGTTCTTTCATAAGTTCATTTATTGAGTTCAAGTATTTCATAAAAAAACCTTTTAAATGGATTTAAATTTTTCCGCGCGTGGACGCAAACATGCACGCATGAAAAATACTTAACTGGAAAGCAGTCTCAACTAAATGTTAAACTTACGTATTTATTGCGTAATCAGCAATCATTTGAACTTGGTCAGCGGAAAATAATTGGATACTAAACGGCGGTCTCTGAAACAAATGTTTTAAAATTATTTTGTTAATTTCTGTGCAAATCTGTTGCCATATATGCATAGAATTCATGCATAGTTAAAATATTATCCACATCTTGTTCTCACATTCGCTGTTCCGATTTGACGACACATTTGTAAAGCTTAATGACAGTTTCAAATCTATCAAAAGCTCTTTCATCAGCCTATAGTCCTTGTCGTTCTGAAGCAAGCATGTGAACAACACGTGGTGCCTAAATGTGATGTCATGTCGATATTTCATCCAGTTCTTTTCTTGAGGAGGTTACAGTAAGTGAAATAAATTAATATATAAAATTACGAGTTAGTGCATAATATAAAACATCCATTAACATTTATAGCTCAGTTGGCTCTCACCATAAGAGGCCTGGACACTAAGCTTTGTTGTTGTTGTTGTTGTTGTTGTTGTTGTTGTTGTTGTTGTTGTTGTTGTTGTTGTTGTTGTTGTTGTTGTTGTTGTTGTTGTTGTTGTTGTTGTTGTTATTGTTTCTCATCATTCTCAAGTGAGAACTTATTAAAGCGTATACTAAAGTGTAGTTTATTAGCGTCTTCTCATGAAATGGATGAACTCCTATCTATGATGAGAAACTAAAGAATAAAAGGAAGCCGAATACATCGAAGTCACAGACAAATAACGCTACAATTCATCAAAAATCGCCAACGCACCATCACCTTGGATCACCACCTATATAATCACCTCAGTGACCAATGGGTGCGCAAACCATCCAAGTCGCAACCTTTCCTAACGCTAACAGCCACAGCCAACCCAGATGATTATCAAGCCCTCGGTTTCACACTCAACGCCACCCACCCGAAGCAGACACAAATTTCTGTCATGGCCGACACGCGCTGCCAAAGCTGCCTCGCAAGTATGCAGGTCATCCAACGCATTGGTCTGAGCAAACGTGACCTCATTCCCGTGACAATGCACATGTACGCAGCCAACAACCACGGCATCAAAATCCTTGGTGCCGTCATTCTACGATTCTCTGGCCCCTCAAAATCCGGAAAGGTCCTCGAAACTCGCCAGATAACATATGTCACCAACGATTCTAACAAGATCTTCCTGAGTAGAGAGGCTTGTACAGAACTAGGTCTCATCACGGAGAGCTTCCCCACCGTCGGTGAAGCCGCTGACCAGTTGACGATCAGTCCACCCCAGCAAACCCCCATCCCAACAGCACAGAACCACACTACTATACCATGCAATTGTCCACGTCGCCAGCTACAACCACCGAAACCTACCCAGCTGCCACTCCCAGCTACAGAAGCTAACCGTGCACGCTTGGAAAACTGGCTCCTAGATTATTACCATTCGAGTACGTTCAACACTTGTGAACACCAACCCTTGCCATTAATGGAGGGTGAACAAATGCGCTTGATGATAGACCCCAATGCTGAACCGAAAGCACACCACACACCAATCCCAGTCCCACTACACTGGCAATCAGAGGTTAAGGCCGGCCTTGACCAAGATGTCGCGTTAGGTGTCCTAGAACCTGTCCCAGTCGGCGAGCCAGTGACTTGGTGCCACCGCATGGTGGTGTGTGCGAAGAAAAACGGCAAACCCAGACGCACGGTTGACTTCCAGGCACTTAACCTCCACGCTACCAGAGAGACCCACCACACCCAAAGTCCGTTTCACCAAGTACACTCCATTCCCAGTGGCAAAAAGAAATGTGTTTTCGATTGCTGGAACGGATATCATAGTGTTCCCTTGCACGAAGATGATCGCCACCTCACTACGTTTATTACCCCTTGGGGACCCTACCGATACAAAACTGCACCACAAGGGTATATCGTATCTGGCGATGGGTACTCCAGACGCTTTGACGATATAGTCTCGCACATACCTGACAAGACCAGAGTTATTGATGATACACTCCTTTGGGCAGACAACTTGACCGCCAGCTTTCACCAAACTCGCTCGATATATGTGGGCGTCATGGAATTATCCTAAATCCTGACAAGTTCGTGTTTGGCCAAGACAACGTCGAATTCGCGGGATTCGAGATCACTCCCACCAATGTCCGGCCGTGCGCACGATACCTGGATGCAATCCGTAACTTCCCAACACCGACTAACCTCACGGACATACGATCTTGGTTTGGTCTTATCAATCAAGTATCATACGCTTTTGCCGCATCGACCCGCATGCAACCATTCCGCGAAGCCCTGAAGCCCGGTACACCCTTCATCTGGAACGAGGAACTGAATAACTTATTCAACGAGTCAAAGACTGTCATTGTTATCGAGATTGAAGAAGGCTTCCGTATTTTCGACAAATCTAAACCAACATGCCTGGCTACAGACTGGTCGAAGAGTGGCATCGGTTTCTGGCTGTTTCAAAAGCACTGTCAATGCGCATCCACCGACCCTTTCTGTTGCCCCACAGACTGGAAAACCACCCTCGTCGGCAGTCGTTTCACCCACGCAGCTGAAGCCCAATACGCCCCAGTGAAAGGCGAGGCCCTTGCTGTGGCGGATGCCCTCGACAAAGCACGATTCTTCACCCTTGGCTGCGAGGATCTGATCATTGCTGTGGATCACAAGCCCCTACTCAAGTTATTTGGCGATCGTTCCCTCGACGAAATCTCAAATGCTCGACTCCGCAGCCTAAAGGAGAAAACCTTACGATACAGATTCAGGATGGTACACATTCCCGGCGTGAAACCGCAGATGCTGTATCCCGACACCCAACTGGTCCCAACAATCCAGAGAAACTGTTATTACCCGACGACGTCGCAAGCACAAGGGAGTCCACCAACCCACCCGACATGGACCCATATAGACATTCATTCTTGACTGGGATACGATGCGCAGACCTCGCCTCAGCCACTACCTCATCGAGTATCAACGACGAACTTACTTCATCTGCCTCCTCGGCGCTGAATGCTGTAGCAGTCACGTGGGATAATGTTAAACTGGCCACGACTAGTGACTCTGCTATGCGTATGCTAGCCTCAATTATTGAGTCAGGTTTCCCTGACCTCTGCCACGAATTACCCAGAGAACTCCACGAATACTTCCAGTTTCGCGAAAACCTATACACAGTGGACGGTGTCATCCTCTACAATGATCGTGTAGTGATCGCACCGCTACTCCGTGAAAACATCCTTGCTACGTTGCACTCCGTACACCAAGGAGTGACTTCCATGATCGCACGGGCTTAGAAACCTTGCTAAGTTAAAATCGATCTGATTCACCCATGGGATAAGATAGAACAACTATATAATTATTTTAATTTGTTAACATTTTAAGTAACTTATCTTTATTGGTGTAGATATTGTGATAAACTTAAAGTCTTTACCAGTTTAGGTAAATTATTATAGCGTAATTATCCCCGAGCCGACGGCGCGAAGCGCCGTGCGAGGGTACTAATTCCCCCCGGCTATTTACACCCGGGGAAACGAAAGCATTAGCCAAGTTTAAAGTTCATCAAATATCGCGGGCGTGGCTCACCAACGAAGTTTCGGTGGGTGGTCATCCTCACTGATCTCAAAAATATGGCGGACTGTCATGAATAGCGGACACTGATTGGTCCAATTTACAGTTTGCATTATAACGACTGCATGATGACAGCGAAACAGCAAACATTTCTTGATTTGATGATTGATAAATTTCTTGCAAATATATCTTATTTTTGCTCGCATTTTTGCAAGATTTTGTAAATTTCAAGAAAGAAAAGACTAAAGAATGGGCTAAAAGAAGGGAGCCGACGTTAACAAAGGTAAGTTTGTTTTAAATATTTATTTTATAATTGTTTTAAAACCCGACGGCCTTTGAGTATATGATAAAGTTCATTTCTTGCAAGTTGTATTTTAGCAAGATTTTGTAAATTTCAAAACCTTTCTGAGAGCCAAAAACGTCTAAAAACGTCTAAAAGAATAGAGCAAAGTCCCCGACGTTAGCGAAGGTATAGTCGTTTTAAATATTGATGTATTTTTTGTCTTATAATTGATATATTTATAACTGATAGTGGTGGGCGATACGGCGAATATCGAACTAAACCTATCATTGCGTATTTAAGTGAAAAAAGACAGCATATAATTTCAGTGTAGTTTTATTAACTACTTTTTCTTTTGTATATTAAAGTATTTAAATAAAGAGGAAAGCACAGTTATTTTCATGCGAGAATTTGAAATCAGCTTATTTCAAACTCAATGACAATGTTTACCGATAATTCGATAAAAGGCCGTTTAGTTTTGAGAACATTTTAAAACGTTTTGCGAAGCGTTTGTGGTTGAATTTTACTTTAAATTGATGCTTATATTACGTATAATAACATACCTGGCATACATATGTTTGGGAAATTGATAATTTTGTTATTAAAAGTGATATTTTGGGGGGATTTTTCAATTTTAAAACCAGGTTTAAAACTATTCTTAAAATTATCGTGTTACCATGACAACTACTTTCAATTCTTCATAATATTCAGAAAACATAATGTTTTGTCAGTAAGGCGAGGGTTTCTGCATGCATGTATTTTCTAGTATTGATATAATCGCCAAAACAAGTTCTATAGCTTTGTATGAGAGCTGAACAATCCTACCTTTGTTCTATCAACTGTATATTTCATACATTCTTCTAGCCTGTATATATTATGATTTCGACAGTTGGACTTGCTTAGATCACATAATATGGCATTATTTTTTGCTTGAAGATATAATCTGTAAATACAAGGCAATATCACAATGTTTTAATGTATTTTAATAACAATATATTGTTGAACCTTTTATACACAAATATACATGCGGCCAACGCACGGAGTTTAAAATATACATGAATATATTACTATTTATGACATAGCTGAACACTTACATTTAAAATTGTTGTCTTTATCTTCAAAAATTGGAGTATTACTTCTTATTTTCTTCAATATGTTAAGAAATCTTGGCTATATCAACCGACGTTAAAATAAAATTTCCAAAGGACGCGCTCGAAGTGTGCTCGCTAAGCCTTATGGGAGCCCATATTTGACAACGCGATTGACTTGACCGCACTGATCTCAATCATGTGAACAATACAGTGCAAATAATCCTGTATAACTGGGTTTTTTTTACAGAAACTCTTAATTCCATTTTCAAAATTCTAGCTGTCTTGTTATATCTACCATGCATGCCAATAATAAAAGGATTTACGACACGATATAAGGTATATTTTTAAATATTTTAGTTCTGGAGACTAGACCTCCCCACATGCCCTCCCCAGGACATTTTGCTGAAAATATATTAGATCACTATAAACTCAGTTTATGACTATATGACAGACTAACTATTGAAGTAGTATTTTTTTAGGTAACTGTACATTCATGTCAATTGTTAAAACCCCACCTCTTTCACTATTCATTTCCATAAATAGCCAGCCTACCCAACCCCCATTGGAGTTGTAGAGATTAAAAGATGATTTATGGTGGTGTGGCTCCTGCATATGAATGTATACTATTTGCTGAAATAACTGTGATAAACAATTCAATGTTAGGTCTGTACAGTGTTGTATATAGCCTATGATCAGTATGTAGAAAATAAGATGCATTTTCTAATTCCTTAATTTATTAAGAAAGATTATGACTGAACTAATATTGCCTATAATTGCCCAATCTCGTACCCAGAGCAATGCCTGTGCGCGGGCTAGGATGGCAGTGGCTTTGGGGAAATTGAATTTTTCTTGTGCTGTGATTGGTTTAACGTGATCAATCGTGCATGCCGACAAAAACCGGAACCTCTAATTCCGGTTGTCAATTTTCCCAGAGCTAATGCCATCCTAGCCCGCGCACAGGCATTGCTCTGGGTACGAGATTGATAATTAATTGCCTATAACTGTTTTGTCTTTTGAGCAATTATTTTTGGCCATGGCTTAGAATTTAACTCCTTAATGGTTGACATGATTTTCCACGTACAAAGTTTATGCATTATGAATGAGTATTATAAAAATATTTAAAACAACCTATTGTTATATATTGGCTATTTAACACTCGAGATAACAACCTATTAAATTATACAATAATTTTTAGAACTACTGAGTATTTTAACAAAATACAAAACAAGTGAAACCCCATTGATACTAATATAAAAATGTTATCGATCTTTAGTTCACTTGTTTTAAACTACAAATTACATTAACCTATTGGTGAATTCGCTTGACCAAAGCAATTGGTTAAAATAACCTATTTATATTCGTTGTACAATGTTCAAGATTAACAAAAAAATAATTGGTTATTTTAACCTATTTATTTTGGTCAATTAGTTAAAATAAACTATTTATATTAGTTGTACCCAAATGTTCAAGATTAACCAAAAAATAATTGGTTATTTTAACCTATTTATTTCGGTTATAACCTATTCAATTGGTTAAAACAACCTATTTATATAAGTGATAACCTTTACAAATAGGTTATTTTGACCTATCAGTTTTTACAGTGCGTAAACGTGGGAAACCACAACATTTACATACAACATTGCTAGACTAATAGCTGGCTTTACGCATTGAAGGACTAACCACCGAAATGCAACGAACATCATAACTTAACAAGTCGTTTTCAGCTTGACCTTGTAGCTCAGACGGTAGAGCATCGTTCTAGAAATACGAAGGTCGCGGGTTCGAATCCCAGCCGCGGTCAATTAGAATTTTCTGCTTTCCCGGTTTGGTATACACACGTCTGAAAACAACTCAAAAACCACTACAGATATATATATATATATATATATATATATATATATATATATATATATATATATATATATATATATATATATATATATATATATATTTTT